CATATGTAATCCCTAAATGCATATTGTCACCGCCCTGCAGTTGCCATCGAATCTGTCATTGCTACAAGTGGGGCATAGGGTTTGGGGTTGGGGTAGAGGTTGGGTTAGGCCCCCATCTGATGATAGTCGTAAAGATGAAGATACTGGCACACAAATACAATTTCCACTATCCCCAGTTAGCCACGATCAGTACCTACACTCGTCTTGGGGTAGAGGTTTGCGGGATTGTGGCTACAACCGCCCCTATATGTGCTCTCGCTGCCATTCCCTATACCCTATAAAGCCTAAGCAGTATCTAGGATTCGGGGGTAATGGTTTTGCATGCGCGGGTAGCTTGGGTTAGTGTCTCCAGTTTCAATTTTGTTTTGTAGGGTGTCCGAGTCCAAGCCTGACGGGGCTTGCGGTGAAGTTTGCAAACCAATTCCTAAACTCCTAAACATAAACCTCACCTGAAACCGAAAAACAAACAACATCTAACGTTCACACTAGCTCATGCATTTGAATCATCCCACAGAGTCTTACTGCTAAGGCTAAGGGTAACAAGCACTACAAATGCGCGCACACACACACACAACAACTTCAGTCCACCTGGCCTTCAGCACAAACGACTCTGCGCTGCAACCAGTGCATCCTGACACAACCTGCAGCCTTGGCGACTGGCTGGTCGAAACGCCTGCGCTCTCATAACCCAGGTCTGTTCCTGCAGCCTTCAACAAAACAGCCCACCACGTCGCTGGCTTGACACCAGGAAGCTCACCGCAAGCTGTAACATGATCACATGTGCTGGGCGTCCTCTCTGCCTCACACGCTAAGATATCCTCCCCAAGCTGATATGAGGCTCGGAGCTCCTCCCCCAGCACATCGTCCCAGTCTGAAGCAGAAGCCATCTCTGGATATGTCACAGTAGCCTACACGTCCCCTCAAAGCTACTGCTACTGAGTACTGTGAAGCCGAGAAGCCATTCAGGCCAGCTAATTAACAGCTAAAGTCTACAATCTAGAGCTACAATGCAGCTACAGCAACCTTGAGAGCCCTGGGTTGTTGTGGTCACACTGTTGGAATTGCTTGCCTGGTCTCGCCTGAGAAATCACCATCATAGACTCTGTCATACGCAGTAAGTTGATTTGACTCCCCTGCGAAACCAGTAACACAAAAAGCGATACACAATTCACCAACCTCCCAAGTCCCAAGGTCAGTTGGTGAGCAACTGTTCACAAAGCTGATGGCCTGTCTGTCCCACTGCTACTGCTACGACTGCGACTACGAAAACATGGCAATTGGTTTGCGTGTCTTGCGGGCGCTCTTCGAAACTAGCTGAGCCGCTATAGCACAGCACTCCGAACTTCACAACATGAACATACATGAAAATTTGGCACGCAAATTCCACACAAGAAAATGATTGCCAGACATGCCACATGTTGAAGAATTCAAGAAGGCTACACGAAGCCGCTGGGTCACGTGTTCCAACCCTAAAAATGCTTCTGCACAAACACATATTGCAAAATATGGGGCCTCAGGCGTGACCTTTACTCTCATCGAAGCACCTCAAAGCCTCAAGTTGGCCTACAATCTAGATTCCAGACGTTAAGCACTCTCCACATAGGCACCTGGACTGCGAACCAAATAGTACTAATGCTACTACCATCGCCTCTACTACGAAGAGCTATAGAAATCCTGCTAGCGATTGTGAACACATGAGGTTGCACATGGCAAGCTCCTGGTCTTGGCAAATTGCCCACAACCGAACGTACATGTACATTGAATAACCATATCGAATGAATACCGTGTATACAGGCAGCCCACCAAGACTTGTTCCAGATTCCCACAGCCCAAATCCCAGGTCCCACACATTGGTGCCTGCATGACTTGCCTATTCCCAAACATATTCGCAAACAGCTAGCTGACAAAACAGGATCTCCAAGCCAGCTTGGCAACAGCCCCCACACCAGGTGCTACCCACCCAACATTCAAGTTTGATTGGCTGCGTGACCACATTTTTGCGCAGTTTTGCCATTTGCAAAGCTAGCAGCAACACTGGCACCCATGCAGAAAATCATCAGGCCAACACCATGCATCGAGCTTTATGCATTGCAGCACAAACGAGTATGCAAGCAAAACAAGTTGTTGAAGTAGAACACGCAGACCAGAAGCTTCTAAGCAACTTCATAAGCCCCACCATCAACACACAATGCACAAAGAATACACAAAAATCATGCAAAAAAATTGCAACATCAAGATGAAGATATTTATTACATTTCTTTTTCTACCAAAAAAAGACACAAAAAATTTGCAAAACCATTTGCGAAATATTTACAAAAAAATTGCAAAAATAATATTTTTCACATGCCCCAACCTGTGGCTCAGAATTTCTTATAAGCTTAGAGCTTGGGGTGTAGAGGATGCAAGAAGGGTTACAATAACCCAAGCAAAGGCAGCACGAAGGAGAACAGCAATAGTGAATCGCGCTGGTGGTAGTCTTCTTCCCGCTGCTTGCAGGGTCCGCAATGCTTCTAGCCTCTTTATCAGTAGGAAGCCATAGCAAGAAGTGCTTCGATGCGGTGCCACTGTCTTCAATGCCTGAGCAATGCCTTCTGCATGTTCAAAAAAGCCTGTGCTTGCAAGACCTCTTGCTGGGCTTTCATGTGCTTGACCTATTCCTAACCCCACATCAATATCTTGAGGCAAAAGCTGTTGCCAGGATGCCCATGTCTTTCTCCATGTATCTGTCATCCTCTCCTGTATTTTCGGAAAAGTCTTCAACTCTTGCACCCACGTGGTCCTTGCTCCGCCAAGCTGGGTAAGACATCTGTCCCCTGGACATTCAGAATATACGAGGACAACAGCAACAACGGAACTTGCTGGCTTCCAGATTCTCCTTGTTTGGCAGAAACAGGCCTATGTAGCTTTCTTGTAGGAATACACTCACATACACTCACTGTCTTGTCATGACCTTTTCCAATGTCTTGAGGAGCTTTTTGAGGACTCCAGGGATGGAGCAACGGCTTTCCTGCTTTTGCATGTAGAACGATATACCTTAGTAATCCCTATATATCCCCTATATAATCCCTGTAGTTTCCATTTTCTTTTCCATTATCCCAATATAACCCCTATATTCTAGCCCTTTCCTGGGGCTTGCCCGCATGGTGGCCTTGGCTGTGACTTCTGGGCAACTTCTAAGATTCTAAGCTGAAAACGTGGTGCATCGATTTGCGCGCGTCATTCTTGCGCATGCACCACGTTAATCTTCATTGTATCTAACAGAACGCTGTCGGATGATCCGAAAGTAATCTCCAGTCAGTGATGTCAATGATGATGGCACTGATGATATGTGAGTGAGTTCACACAGTCGCCGCCAGAAGCAGCAGCACGAGCATGACTACCATGCAAAGGAGCCGGTCCAACTCTCCCATACGTGTAGCTCAACACAAGCTGTGAAACCCCCCCTATCCCTTGTTGCAGTGGAGCTTCCTGACACCCTTCTTATTCTGCATGAAAAACATTGTCACTCACAACCCAGGCTCTTTGTCTTCGTTGGGAAACTCTTTTACTTCTTGCAAGGAATTGGAGGATCTGATCATGATCCATTTATTTCTGTCGAAGCAGCCGCGATTGTAAACAACTACTGCACCACCCAAGTCGACACAGCAAGAAGAATGAGGAGGAGGAGCAGGAGGAGGAACAGCAGCATTAACAACGATAATCGCAATTGTTAGCAGTCAAGTGACAAAATCTAACTGATCAATTGAGACTGGCTGGCCAAGAACAAGGGCCCAGCTCCGAAAACCCCATTGACACACATGACTTTGAAAGAGCTCCTAGCAATATGTAGGATTCTTAAAGTGACTTCAGATCTAAAGTGACAGCAGCAATCAGTCCACTGGCCTCTTTGTCCGTGCCCACGGATCCCTCCACAACTTCATGCTCTCCTGTCGAGCATGCTCATTTCGCATGCTGGCTGAACGCAACTTTCTAAGTTTCGGGGTTTAGTGCTCCAACCTCTCTAGGCCAGAAACCTGAAACTCTCAACTGGTCCTGTGATTTGCACGGGCCGCCCGACAAGCGACTGCCCCTGCACTGCCAGCATTCTTCGCGACGAGTCGGCCCGGAACTCCCATTGGCTCAAGACATGTGTCCTATTTGGGCCTAGGGTTTAGCGGTTGAGGAGTAGGGTCTCAGGCTTAGGTTTAGGGATTGGGGTGTAGGATAAAGGCTTCGCGATCAGAATTCGAGACTTGGGGATCAACGCTATTAGGCTTTCTCAATGTAGGGAGCCACTAGGGACCACATGCATATGTGGGACTATTTATAGAAGGCTACATGGGAAAAATCCCAAAGGTGCCCTAGACCGAATTGGTGCTCGGCACTTGGGTTTAAGGATGCAGGCTTGGAGTTTGGGGTTTGAGGTGTGGAGTTAAGGGTTTGGAGTTGTTCTGATGAAAAACTGCAGTGGGCACATAGGTGTGGCTTTGACCGGCTGGAATACAAGTGCTTCTGGCGATTAAAATCAGAACCGCATCGCTGCAGCATCATTGCTTTGCAGAACGTAGGGTACGGGCAAGTGCTCAGAACGTATGCCGCCCGCACTTGCGGAAACTTCACAAGATAAGCGAACTGAAGCGCAGCAACAACGACCTCAACAACAGCTGCAACAGCAACAACAACAACAACCGCCATCATAATGATGACAATAGCAAGGGCGAAGACACCGACGACCGCAACGGCAACAAATGAAACAACAATGGCATCAACAACAATGACATTGGAGGACGGCGAAGACGACAAAAGCAAAGCCTATTCCTTCCTATCACAACTGCGTGGCTCTAAAGAGCTTAAGCCGTAAGGCCTCAAAGAAGCTCCCCGGCCATCCTTTGAAGTCGAGGCCTGGATGCCACATCAAAGTGGGGCAGCGGACAAGCCTAACGTGTGACGGAACTGCAGTGACCTTTTGTGCACATCAATTTCGCGTCTCTCCGAGGGAGGTTTCAGGCCTGCACAACCACCCTCTCCTCTCAAGGAGGGTTGCAAAGGCTTCTGCATCAGGGCACGCGCAATTCGTCGGGCCCGTGCTTGAAGCTGGCATTAAGTGTGCACGGGTGGCAGACGCACATACTAGAGCTGCAACCAGTAAGTGCAACCGCCTGCAAAGTACAGCACCGATCTATGTGGCGTATCTCATTTTGCAACAGGAAGCTTGCAGGTACAGCATTGCAGCGTTCCAGTGAGGCAGTCACGGCAAACACCTTGCATGACGTAACATTACTGAACTCTTACTGAACCTTAGGACTTCTGGTAAGGGTAGATACTATACCTTATGCAGGTTTTTGTCCGTCAGCTGCAGCGCTCAAGCTAAGTGAAAATGCTCACTGATGGAATGGTCTCACGCCGGCTTTTCATCTGGGACCTGCTTCAAACAGACTAGGGTACCTTGAAGTACCTTTCAAGGGGGCTATCGGGATATGCATATATACCGCACATGTCCACATATTCTAGCCGTCTATATTCATATGTGTATATATATATAGAGAGAGCCAGAGAGAGAGATGTGTCGACAAGTATTTGTAGGCTTCAGCGATCAAGGTCTACTCGTGCACCGTCGGCCACTAGCAGGATCTTCGTCAGAGCACCTGTATCTCCCAGCGCAACCAGGGCATGTTCACTTGCAGCATCCTCCATTGTTGACCTCACACGAGCTATAGTCTAAACTCCTAGTATCCCCCTTAATAACCTCTATAGTAGTTCCCTATATAATCCCCCATATATAACCCCCTTTAAGGAGTTTAGACCCTAAACCCTAAACCCTATAGAATCCCTTATATAACCCCCTTTAAGGAGTTTAGACTATAGCTCCCACAGGATTGAGGTTTCAAGCCTAGGCTTGGTCAGTCGA